GTTCCGGCAGTGAATGTAAAGGGATCGACACGGTCAAGGAACATAAGACATTTGAACCAGTTACTATATTGGGATTTATTTCTTCAAATATATGTTTTGTACGACTTGTAAAGGATACGGAAGCTCATTTAACTACTCTCAAGAAGATAGATGCGATTGGAAGAGAAGCCCCATTGTTGGATATTTTCCCCTCGGCTCATACATTAGCTCTTACGTTATATAACGGTATGTTTAGCCGTGTTGAAGTACTGTCTTTTCCAGATCAAAAACATGCCAAAGTTTTGCACTGTGACTATGGGGTCGTGGCAACTATCGAAATTTCCGATCTACGAGTTGCAGCCGGGGATATTCTAAAGTTGCCCCGTTTTTCTATGATGGTAAAACTTCATAACGTAAATGAATATTCGCCTACTGAAACTCTTACGAGCTTCCTTAACCAATTCGAAGGTATTGAGTGCCAAATGCGTTATTGCGTTTTACCAGTGGGAGAGGACGAAGTAGAGCTCGCTATTTTGGGATCACGGAGAAATATTAATGAAGAAGTTGTAAAATTTTGTTCAAAAATTGCTCTGACAAATTCCCTGCGTTCAAATCATAAAACAATTGAGAAAGAGGTTGGACAACATGAAAATGAAATTCCAACTGAGGCAGGCAAAGCCGATATGTTACTGGATTTAAATCACAATTCTCCATATCAGAGTGCGGTTCAAATGGCTATATCCACAAATTGCGGTGAGAACTTTGGAGATAAGCCAATTATTTCTCCACCTTTCGAAATATACGTGTTCAAATCCGATTTAATAAATTTTAAAGTCGTGGTCTTGGATACTTCTGCTTTGAACTATGGGTACATAGGATGTATCGCCGAAACAGATCTAAAATATTTGGTAAAAGTTCAAGAATATTTAAGCCGTTATAAAGATAACAAGCAATACTATAGCCCTAAATTGCATGAATACTGCTTGGCAAGATTCGAAAATGAATGGTATAGAGCCAGGGCAGTAAAAGTAAATGATAACGCACGTTATACCGTAGTCTACTTGGACTTCACCAATGAGAGCGTGTTAACCTCAAAAGACATTCGCCGCTATCCCGTTGATTTGAATGGGGCATGTCGCACAAACCTTTGTTTAATTGATGGCTTGCCAACTTCGTTAAAAAATGAACATGTAAACTTTTTGAAAAAGGAAATAACTACAGAGAGTAAGCTCCTTATTGATAGGGTTAAAGAGATTGTGCAACAAATTGTAGTGGTCGAATGTCAGCATATAATTAAAAAAATGTTAAATTTGGGGCTTATATGAGTTTACCAGTATTGTTACTATTGCCAGCTTATGTACTTTACCAGTGAAATAAATGAATGAAATTTATTTTCTTTATATAGTCTGAAATTGTGTTCAAGTTGTAGCTTCTACTCAATCCCGCCTTGGTCGGCTAGCCCCTGCGGAGACTCCGGAAGCGTGCAGCTTCTATGGTGTTTGTCCATAGCCACAGTGGCGTTAGCCGAGTTGGTTTTAGGGTTATGTGAAGAGATGTCTCCGCAAGCCGGGCACTTGTTGGGACAATGCATCTAATCTGCTCAGGTACGAGTTTAGCCTGTTGCCATGGATCAGTGATGGGCACACCTAAATACTTTTGTACTTAAAGTACCACTTTGGGTACTAAGTACACAAATACTTAGTATTTTGAGATGACTAAATATTCAAGTAAAAAGAACTTAGGTATTTAGGAGCTGCTAAATACCCAAGTACTATTTACTTAGGTTTTTAGGAGCTGCTAAATACCCAAGTAAACAATACTTAGGTATTTAGGTGGTGCTAAATACTCAAGTAAAAAGTATTTAGGTATTTAGGAGCTATTAGATATTAAAGTAAGAAAAACTTGAGTATTTAGGAGCTGCTAGATACCAAAGTACAAAAAACGAAAGTATTTAGCAGGCGCTAAATACTCTGGTCCAAAGTACTCAGGTACCTTGGAGATGCAAAATACTTTCACTAAAGTACCAAGGTATTTAGTCGATGGCTAAATACTTTCAAACTAAATACTGTATAATTTAGGAGAAATTTAGAGAATTAACACCTCACCCTACACTCACCTCAACTTACTTTACCACAACTCGCTTCTCCTCAAATCAACTCACCACATTCAAACTGACCACACCTCACCTGAACTCACCGCACCTCCTACTGGTACACCAAAATCCGCCAAATCTTAACTCACCACAGTTGAACTCATCACACCCGTTCTCACCACACCTCACCTAAACTCACCACACCTCAATTTGGGAACTGTTTCTGCATTTGAGAGATTCGTCAAACTAAATCAGGATTTTCAAGACTATTTCGG